ACATAACATACACCTTGAGCACAGAAGGCCCAGTCCGCGAACCCACATGGCTTGGACACTACAGATACTACAGTTCTGATACTACATGAGAAGACGATTCAATATATAAAACCAGTTGATTGAATAGAACTATAGAAGTACACGGAGTCACTAACATTAGTTACTGGAATTGATTCCATTACTTTAAAACCCCATAGTATACCAGAAAGACTAAAACACGTCAACAGACTCACTTGCCAACCATAATTTGACCAACCCCATTGCCAGCAGCAACTTTAATTATTATCTGAAATTTAAAACTAAACTGCATCAGAAGATAGCAACATAAAAATATGTGAGCTATTTTAGCAAATGAAAGTACAGTATCAGCTTCTCTATTCCCCGTTAGGCCATCAATACCTGTGCAGCTTCACGATTAAAATATCGACCATCACCTCCAAGAATCAACAATTTGTCCTTATAATCCTCCGGCGACAGTGAATTAAACAATGCCTTTTCATATCAAAATATTATAATCCAGTTATTAGCATGTAAAGATTGGATCTTTCTCAATTCAGTATAGCATACAGTTCAAACCAACGAACCTGAATCCAGTTTGCAAGGTAATTATCCTGCATGAAAACTTTAGTCTGCACACAAATTGAAAGAGTGAAACAACTAACAATCAGATACTGAAAATATACGGCAATGAAACAGGAACTAGAATTCAAAGTTCAGACATTTAAGAGCGATCGCGCTGATATTAAAAAAAAAAATCCTACCTTTTTACGAAGGCCACTAGTTCCAGTCTTCTGTCCTTGTATTGGTTTTGTCGGTACCGAATTGATCTGCAATTTGACAATTAAACTTGTAAGTAGTTAAACCAACAGGCATACGTGCGCACATACATACACAAATACCTTGAGAGCTTGAGATTCAGTGATGGTAGCGGAAGGAGATGTTGAGAAAGTAGAAGGAGAAGAAGAAGCAGCAGCGATTACAGGACCCAAGGCCGCAGTGGAAGTTCTTAAAGAAGAGATATAGGAAGGGGAGTTGAAGGAGGAAAGATGGTGGAGTGGGCGACGGAGAGTTGCAGCATTTCTGGCGGAAGAGAAATGGGTCGAAACGGAAATGGATGCCGGGTCTACACGGGAACAGAACGACGCCATGGGAGCTGAGCTGAGGCTGTGAGACTTTGGAAGAGTGAGTAATGATCGATCGATCGCGTACAGTAATCGCTCACTCACTAATCAATGATGAGTGTGTCCACACACCTTGTTTCCATCCGTTTGTTTTAGGTAGGGACCATCCATGGATATTATCAATTTGGTCCACTTGAGGACACAGACAAGTTGGAGTAGGGGTAGGCTGCAGGGGTTCGTATACCATACATCCGGCTGTACGGTGAGCACCGTACAGCCGGCCCAATTTTAGTGTTTTTAAATTACTTAATTGTTGGCCCGTGCTCCAAAAGCCCAAAATTTGAAAATACCCGGTTGCGATAAAATAAAATACATGAACGATTTTTTTAAAAAACAAAAAGCAACTGCAAATCTCTCAAAAACCGCAATCTCTTCGCACGAGACACAACTCTTCCCAACTACACCGCCATATCTGTATCTCGACATTAATGGTGACCAGTTAATCGGAGTTGTTGCTTTACGAGCTAGAAGAAGACGGGGAAGGAGATCTGAGTTCCGAAGTGTTAGGTTTTGAGTACTAAGAACGAACAGAGCTATGGATCTCGTTTCAGAATGGAACATGCTTTCAAATGCACATGAAGAACACGAAAGTGCTGAAGCATCTGAAAAGTATGTAATACTCATTCATATACATTTGCATTTTGTTTCTTAGTTCTCATTATGTTAATAAAATTGCATGTTCGTTATTTTGGAGAAAAAACATATACAGAGTATAATTTAGATAAAAGTCAAATTGATTATTAAAATGGTATAATGATCATTACCGCCCCTCTTGTGCTCATATTTCGAGTACAATAAGACAACAGGTGTTTGTTAAGTACATATAAGCGTCAATATGTTTACTGCAATCAATTGTGTTTAGAAGATGCTTGTTATGAAATGATATTACATTAAAATTGGTACAATACTCATCATGTGGTTTGTGATACTCATATATTTCTTATTTAAATGTTTATAAAGTAACGAAATATGTGATATAGATTTGACATGTTGGTTACTGTATAATACTCATATTGTAATCTCTAATGCTCATGTGTACTGCAAATAATTGTTATTGTATAATACTCATATTGTAAACTCTACTGCTCATGTCTACTGCATATAAAGTTCAATGTGTTTGTGAAATTTTGAAATGGTTGAACAATATTCTAATATTCTTATTTGGTTATTTCAAAAGTAATGATAGTATGAAAACTGTTACAGTACTCATCATATGCTTTTTGATACTCATATAGTTCTTATTTTAATTTTTATGAAGTAATGTATTATGTGACATAGATTTCACGTTTTGCTTGTCGTGTTAAATGCTCACTGAATACTGATATAATACTCATTTGGAACTCTGTAATGCTCATGATTACTGGGAACAAAGTTCAATGTGATTATGAAAATGGCACAAGAATATTCTTATTTGGTTATTTCAAAAGTAATGATAGTATGAAAAATGTTACAGTACTCATCATATGCTTTTTGATACTCATATAGTTCTTATTTTAATTTTTATGAAGTAATGTATTATGTGACATAGATTTCACGTTTTGCTTGTTGTGTTAAATGCTCACTGAATACTGATTTAATACTCATTTGGAACAGTATAATGCTCATGATTACTGGGAACAAAGTTCAATGTGATTATGAAAATGGCAGAAGAATATTCTTATTTGGTTATTTCAAAAGTAATGATAGTATGAAAAATGTTACAGTACTCATCATATGCTTTTTGATACTCATATAGTTCTTATTTTAATTTTTATGAAGTAATGTATTATGTGACATAGATTTCACGTTTTGTTTGTCATGTTAAATGCTCACTGAATACTGATTTAATACTCATTTGGAACTGTATAATGCTCATAATTACTGGGAACAAAGTTCAATGTGATTATGAAAATGGCAGAAGAATATTCTTATTTGGTTATTTCAAAAGTAATGATAGTATGAAAACTGTTACAGTACTCATCATATGCTTTTTGATACTCATATACTTCTTATTTTATTTTTTATGAAGTAATGTATTATGTGACATAGATTTCACATTTTGCTTGTCGTGTTAAATGCTCACTGAGTACTGATTTAGTACTCATTTGGAACTGTATAATGCTCATGATTACTGGGAACAAAGCTCAATGTGATTATGAAATATGAAAATGGTTAAAGTGTTTTTAGTTTTGAACTAAAATGGTATAACTCATAATAGTATTAATTCAAAACTGATATAGTACTCATCATCTTGTAGATAGTACTCAAACACTGTTGCATGAAATTTCTGAAAAAGCTCATTATAAAGTATTAGCATCATTTAACTATTACAATACTAATGTTGTGATTTTTTAATGCAGAAATCCACCAACAAAGGTTGTAACAGAGATTCCAGTCCTGCGTAAAATACCAAAAAGGAAAGCATTAAAAAGTCCAAAAGTTTCAAAAGCCCTGAAGCAACAAAAGAAGGTAGGTGTTCAAAAGAAAAGAAAAGAAAAGCATCTGAAGAGGTTTTAGAAGTTAAACAACATACAGCTGCAGATGAGGATACTGTTGATGGAGAAAGTTTCAAGCAGAATGAGGATCCAGGTCAGAATACAGTTCAAGAAAAAAGTGATGAACAAGTTCATCAAGATACTGTTCAGGAAGCTGAAAAATATATTGAAGAATATGAGCATGTGGAGGGAGTTAATGAGAAAGAAAATGATGATGGCACTACAGCAGATGTCAATGCTTTAGAAGAAGTTGAGCAACATACTGCTGCAGAAAAGAAATAGCTTTTAATGCAAGCATTGATAGAAGAAGTGGGTGAACAAGAGAGTGGTGAAAAAAGAAGAAAGAGCAAAACATCAAAAGCAAGAAAAGTTGAGAAAAGTGCAATGCAAGTCTTCTCAAGCAAAAGAATAACAAGATCGCAAACATCAGAAGAAGGTGATAACAAGGAAAAAGAAGTTGCGAAAACTGGAAATAAAAGTAAAGTGGTAGCAAAGAGAGAGAATAAAGAAAAGTTGAAGAAAAAGAAAGAAGACGACGTAGAAGAAGATGAAGATGAGGAAACAGAAAAGGAGGGTGATGATAACCTTCCAAAGCTATGGTCAAGAATGTCTCCTAGAAGTCTAACTGAGGTAATCACATCCCTCTCTGAAGAACAGAAGGAAGAAGTGGTAGACATGGGGTTTGGCCCAATACTACACTTAAAAGTCAAACAATTGCCAATGCAGTTGGCATATTGGGTTGTGGACAGGTTTGATAGCAGGAGTGTTTCATTGCATTTGCCAAAGAACGAGAAATTGCGTGTCACTGAAGATGCAATACACTACACAATGGGATTTCCAAAGGGAAACTTGGATGTGAAAAGGTTGATAGATACTCAAGGTGAAAAAACAGCAGAGATGGTGGCTGATTGGAGAGCACAGTTCAGTAGTGATAAAGGACTTGTGAGGACTGGTGAACTGAAAGATCTATTGGAGAAAAATAAACAAGCTGGAGGCTGGTTCAAAAAAAATTTCTTGGTTCTCCTGGTGACTTGTTTAATTGAAGGAAAGCAGAATTGCTTTGTCAATCAAAGCATACTCAAAGCACTGGATGATGAGTCACAAATAAAGAATTTTAATTGGTGCAGTTATGCTTTGCAGACATTGATTGAATCAAAGGACTACTGGAATAAAAGCAGAGCACGACAGTTCCCAGGACCTCTTCTCCTTTTGATTGTAAGTTAAAAACTATATAATTTCAATACTCAAAGTAATCATTTTATTACTCAATTATGGTATGGTAATGCACAATTCTAAATATTGAAAAATGTTAGGTGTTTTATGTTGACAATATGGTATTCAAAGGAAGGAAAGTAGACAGAGGCTTGCCATCTATAGTTGGATGGACAACTCAGAATCTCAACAAAAGGGAAAAGGAAGAGATAGAAAGTGGAGGGTTTGGATTTGGATACATAGATGAACCAAATCAAGGAACTCTTACAATTCCAAATCTGATTCAGAATGAAGAGAATAAGAAAAACGAGGAAGAATGCAGTGAGCAAGCAGATAAGGTAAGGCAAATAATGTACTCTTTATACACTTGAGTATCATATAAATTATACATGAGTATATTATTAAATTAAATTGAGTAATAAATATGAACAGTGGAAAAACTGAGTTACTCTAAAATTATCATATAAGCATAGAAAAATTGTTGTGCATCATTTTATATGTCCTTAACACAATACAATAACTCAAAATAAAATAAAATAAAATAACACTGAATGAAAATTTTAGTAATACACTAATACTCATATGATTTATACAGGATATCATGAAGGAATTCGCTTCAGCAGCAAAGCATTTGGCAGATAGCATAGCAAACTTTGATGAAAAGTTTCAAGAAGCTGCGAAGGTGTTGCCTGATGATGAAAAAATGAAGGTTTTGCTAGGTAAAGTGCATGGACTCTTCAACACATACTCAACAGAGCCACAAACAATTGAAAAAGAAATAAGAATGACTCCTGATGATGAGTTTTGGACTGAAGAGGTTTTAAAGGCAGTTGAAGCTATTGAAAAAGCTCAGAAAAAAAGGAATGATAGGCCTACATTAATACAATACGAAAAGCCCAGTTTCACACTGCTTTCACAAGAGTCAAATGAGCATGCAGGTGGCCAGGAAGATGAAGAACAGAGAGATGAGCATGTATATGCAGTTGCTGAGCATCAAGAGGAGCTTGATGAGCAACACAATGAAGCTCAGGTAGATAATGAAGAGGATGTGATAATAAACGCAAGTGAAGCTATTCCTGTGACTGAATTAAAAGAGCATGATAGAATAAAGGCATCTGAAAAGGGAAAGCAAGCTTGTTTTGAAGGAGAGGGCCAATGTGGTGCACATGTGGAAAGAGAAAAAAGACAAGTAATGCCTGGCCCTGCTCTCAAGTCTCCATACGTGATCAGAATTACAGAAATGAAGGCAGGAACAACTACTGAAGAAGTCAAACTAGCTAAATTTGTGTTTGAAGAGAACTCTGATAAATCGTAAGTAACTACATATTTGAAAACTGCTTGTCTAAAATATTTAATTAATAGTTAGCTGACAATTGCTTAAAATAAATAGGGTTGTGCTCTATAAAGATGGAAATCTGATTGTTTCAAGAAAGGAGATGGAGAGTTTGAACATTGATTCCATAGTCAGTCCACTGTTGATAGATTTATGGGCGATGATTTTGAATGAATTTGAGAGTCTGAAAAGCACTCAATCAAGGAATAGATTGATATTCACAACAACACCATATGTAAGATTTATGATTTTAAATATTTTTATTTGAATTTGAAAATTATATCTTATACAATTGGTTTACAGAGAGTGTTGGAGGAAAATCAGATTAGTGCTGCAGCAACCAGAAACAAGAGATTCATTGAAGCTACAAGGATCCAATTCAAAAGGGCATTGCCGAAAGTGAAGAACATGGACTTGTTTATCTTCCCAGCTGAACGTAATGGTAGCTACTACCTAATGTGCTTTGATATGAAGTACATGAAGTTCTTAATCATTGATAACTGTGACAAGGAAATAGCAATAGGAATGAAGTACCTTTCTCAACCAACCCAACTGGTAAGTAATAAATCAAAATTATTTGTTTGTTAAAATGTGTATACTGTTTATAAAAAATGAGCATCTGAACATATTTAATGTGTAAATGTTTTTATTTACAGAAAAGTGCTGTACTTAAATGGCTTAAAAAAGAAAAACATCAGCATGCTGACAAAGTGAAGAATATGAAGCCAGAAGTAGTCAAAATGGCATGGAGAAACAAAAAAAACAAAGCTAATGATGGTGTCTATCTGATGAGACACATGGAAACTTTTAATGGAGAGACAGACTGGGATTGTGGCCTAGAAAAAGAACATGTAAAGTACTTTTTTATTTTTAATCAAAGATTTAATGACATATTACTAATAAATAAATAATATTGTATGATAATACTAACACAAATAATCATGCAGGAAAAGCACATACAGGTCTTGAGGCTTAAATACTTGCACAAGATGTTGACATTTCAAAGGAATGAAGTTAGAATGGAGTTGATGAACAAAGTGAAGGAAATGTAGTTCTTCTAATGATACTTATGTTTAACTTAGTTTAATATGAACTTCAAATGCTTCTATGTTTTTGTTGGCAAAAGACATATTTTGTTCTTGTTAATGTTCGATGGTGAATGTACTGGACATGTGTTTTTATGATGAAAGAGACACTTCACGTTTATGGCAATGATCATTACTAGTACTGTCACGCCCCGGACCTACCCGGACACGTCAACAACCCGCCGTACAATACGAATAGTCAACCGCAGTCCAACACATTCATATTATACAAGGCGTCATGAATATCATTCACACATATAACATCCATAAACAAACATAATAAGTAATTCATAACGCAGCGGAAAGCATTGTTTAAAACAAAAGGCCACACCGGGCTATTCATGAGCACGCAGGCTCTATAGTAAAATATCCATGAGCAAATTTATTAATGTTTCAAATAGAATGGAGGAAGCACGAACCGAGTCTTCTCTCCGAGGAATCACTCGATCAACGAGCACAGGATGCAAGCTCTAGCCTCAACCTGAAATGGTGGTGGGACGCCCCCGAAGGGGTCAGTACTCTATACGGCTATAAAGTACTGGTGTGGCAGGCATCTAATAGATATACAACAAGTATTTCAAACACAAGACCCTCAAATAGGGTGATAGTACATTATGATTGTAACCCTAAGTTACCCCGTTTAAAAATATACTTACTTTATATAAAAGTCAAGTAGCCGGCCCGTGGGCCCATGTTCATTTGGAAAATCACCATTCCCAACCCCGTGACTATAAGCCACGACAACTCCTAGAGTCCAACCCTAGTACATGACATTGTATTCTAGAGCTCGGCTCTACCACATCACCATACAATTCATATACCTCGGGTCAATTTCCCTACCTTGCGTTCTAGAGCTCGGCTCTATCACATCACCACGCAAGTCCTAGAGCTCGGCTCTAGCTATACAATACATAGACTCCAAGTCTACACCTTACATGCATTCTAGAGCTCGGCTCTATCACATCACCATGCATTAAGGTCCAATTCTCAAGCAACCTTATGCCTAGAATTGACATATCATTAGACTACCATGGGTCATCCTTAAAGACTTCCCATAACTTAACCTTAGTTCCTTACTAAGTTATTAGATACACTTGAACTACATTCAAGTATCTTTCATACAATCCAATCCCTAGGATCAATTTAATCAACAAGTTCCAATAATCACTAACTAGTATTTCAATACTATTAAGATTATTGTTATCATACCATTATCCTCATTATTTGTAATTCTCTACATAATTATAATTATGTAGCAGCAACTTAAGTATTCAATCTCAATACACAATTATTCATTTATGTAACCACATAATTCATACATGAGCAAAATGCCTATTTCACAAAGATAGTTCATTTATACTCATTTAATCTCATAATACTCATGCATTCTCAAATCATTTCAAATTTCATTCTTTGGCAACTATATCAATATTTCATCAATATGTAACCATCATAATTCATGAAAAATAATGACTTAAGCATTTAGGTAATCTCATGCTTAACCTACAAGTTGTAAGCAATTAGATGTCAATCCTCACCTCAATTGAGCTTTAAACTTTCCCTTCTTGGTCCAATGGTCAAAGCTTTGGTCAAGGTGGATTTTGGGACTGATTCCTTGCTCAAATATGAGTGTTAAACATCCTCCTCAAAGTGCTAGTTCAACCCTTAATCGTTGATACGAAAACAGCCCCTAGAACGGGTGTTTCCCGGTCAACTCGTTTTCCTAGTTTTTTCCAAGATTTGCTCTAGGTTAGTATCTAACCTTTACATCATTAAAATAACTTTATAAGGACATATTATACACTTGGATTAGTGTATAATAGTCCCACCAATCGTTCATATCATTTGGAAAATGAAAAGTAAAGTTTTGGGGTTAAAACTCACCTTAGAAGATTAAATCCTCTCCTGCGAGGTTGTGTTTTGCTCGGACGATTTGGAAGCCTTCCACAACTCCGATTCCTGCAAACCAGACCTTCACGGATTCCTCGTCTTGAGATCTTTCTTTTGGTATATCATACGCCTTATTTGGACGAGTGAAACTCAAGTTATGGATCAAACAAGAGACCCTATCTACTGGAAAACGAATCCTGCGGCCAGCTTCTCTCTTCTCTTCTCCCTTGGAATATGTGGCTCCCTCTTTCTCTCTTATCTTGGGAGTTCGAATGGGGTGTAGGGGGAGTGTATTAGGAGGCCTCAATCATGCTAAGAGAGCATGTGGTTCACAAAAAAGAAGGGTAGGGTATTTGATTGCAATCAAACATGGTATGGACCTCCTCTTTTATTTCCTTTTTGTAATGTTGTAGCTCATGAGTCAAAAGTCCGCCCCACATAGTTGTCTCATCCATTTTTCTTTGTCTTTGCAGGTACCAAGGTCATGTGGGATGATTCCCAAATGATCCCACTCAATTTGGGGTCCAAAATATCTACCAATACTTCCAAAAATGGGAATATGGGTCCTATTGTTTCATCTTTTGTCAAAAGATGCCCTGTTTGTACTCATCCTAATTTATTTAGAACAAGTCAACTTCCTACATCACATTATTGATCTACAATGTGTGTAGGATCATCTCGATAATTTACATGATGAAAATTACAAAAGAATACGGGTTTGAACAATACAATATTCAATCATGCACTTCGTAACATATTAATCGTTTTTCCATTGTTTTGAAATCGGAAATTCAATACGTCACTTTTGAATTTTTAAATCGAATTTCCAAGGACGTTCGGGTGCGGTGTCACAAGTTCACCCCCCCTTAACAGGAATTTCGTCCCCGAAATTCACAGCTCTACTCGAATAGGAAAGCATACTGCTTCCTCATCAAAGCCTCCGTTTCCCATGTCTCTTCCTCGACCCGATCGCTCTTCCACAGGACTTTAACCATTGGGACTTCTTTGCTCCTCAGTTTCTTCACCTTTCTATCGGTGACCTTGATAGGTTGAACAGCGTAGTTCAAATCCTCACGTACCTCTACAGGCGGCTTTTCCAATACGTGAGAGGGATCATGCACATACTTCTTAAGCATGGATACATGAAACACATTATGTATCTTCTCTAATTCGGGAGTCAACTGTAGACGATATGCAACGGCCCCAATTCTCTCTATAATTCTGAATGGACCTATGTATCGTGGGTTAAGCTTTCCTCGGGTTTGAAATCGAATGATTCCTTTCCAAGGAGAAACTTTCAAAAATACCTCGTCATCAACCTTAAACTCTAAGGTTCTTCGACGCTTATCCGCATAACTCTTTTGTCTATCCTGAGCCGCTTTGAGTCTCTCTCGAATCAACTTCACCTTTGATTTGGTGACCTCAACCAACTCAGTACCCTCGAGTTTGGCCATGCCAACCTCGTCCCAGCATAACGGTGTACGGCATCTCCTCCCATACAATGCCTCGTATGGAGGCATGCTGATGCTTGCCTGATAACTGTTGTTATAGGCAAACTCCACAAGTGCTAAGTGGTTGTCCCAACTTCCTTGGAACTCCAATGCACAAGCCCTCAGCATGTCTTCTAGGATCTGTATGACTCTTTCAGACTGCCCATCCGTCTGTGGGTGGAAAGCAGTACTGAACTTCAACCTCGTTCCCATAGACTCCTGAAATTTTGGCCAAAAACGTGATGTGAATCGTGGGTCTCTATCAGATACAATGGTCACTGGGACCCCGTGCAGCCTCACGATCTCATCCGTATACAATTTGGCTAACCTCTCAAGTGGGTAAGTAGTGTTGATAGGCAAGAAGTGTGCACTCTTCGTGAGCCTATCTACCACAACCCAAACTGCATCATAGTTCCTGATTGTTCGTGGTAAACCTACCACAAAATCCATAGTCATGTGTTCCCACTTCCATTCAGGAATGGAAAGTGGTTGCAATAAGCCTGCTGGATGCTGATGTTCTGCCTTAACTTGTTGACAAGTAAGGCATCGACTGATATATTCGGCTATTTCTCTCTTCATACCCGACCACCAGTAACTCTCCTTCAAGTCGCGGTACATCTTCGTGCCCCCCGGGTGCATGGCATAAGCCGATGAATGAGCTTCCTCTAAGATGGACTTTCGGAGCTCATCATCTGCCGGTATACACACTCGGTCACGAAATAATAAGAGACCGTCATCTCTTTCTCTGAAGTCCTCCACCGGTCCCGCTTGCATGCGTTCCCGGATCTTCATAATTTCTTCGTCAGTTTCCTGACCCTTCTTGATCTCATCAAGTAAAGTAGGTCTCACCCCAAATCGTGCCAATAAGGCACCATCGCTGGATACCTCCAGTTGGGCTCTTAATGCTCTCAAATTAGCTAGCAATGCCCCAGACGAGCTCTTCCGGCTCAAAGCATCTGCCACCACGTTTGCCTTGCCTGGGTGGTACTCTATCACTAGATGGTAGTCTTTTATCAACTCCATCCACCGTCTCTGTCTCATGTTTAGCTCTTTCTGAGTAAACACGTATTTCAAGCTCTTGTGATCAGTGTATATGTGACATGTCTCCCCGTAGAGATAATGTCTCCATATCTTCAGTGCAAACACCACTGCCCCCAGCTCCAAATCATGAGTAGGATAATTCACCTCATGCTTCTTCAACTGTCGTGAAGCATAGGCGATTACCCTCCCATTCTGCATCAGTACACATCCAAACCCTTGGATGCTCGCATCGCTATAGACATCGTACCCCACACCCTGTTTGGGTAATGCAAGTACCGGTGCCTCGGTCAATCGCTTCTTTAGTTCCATGAACCCCTTCTCACATTTGTCATCCCATACAAACTTAGCTCCTTTACGAGTGAGCTTTGTCAATGGTGATGCCAAAACAGAGAACTTCTCCACGAACTTTCTGTAGTAGCCTGCCAATCCAAGGAAACTACGAATTTCCTTGACGTTCTTTGGCCTCTCCCATTCGGTAATGGCTTCTATCTTCTTGTCATCAACAGCAATTCCCGATCCCGAAACCACGTGCCCGAGGAAGCCAATCTCCTTTAGCCAAAATTCGCATTTAGAAAATTTGGCATAGAGTTGCTTCTCCCGTAGTGTCTCAAGAACAAGTATCAGGTGCTCCTCATGCTCTTCTTCACTCTTTGAGTAAATCAAGATGTCATCTATGAACACAATCACGAATCGGTCCAAGTATTTATGAAATACTCGGTTCATCAAGTCCATGAATGCCGCTGGGGCGTTTGTTAACCCAAACGACATAACAAGGAATTCAAAGTGCCCATACCTTGTGCGAAAAGCACTTTTTGGTATGTCGTCTTCCTTAATCTTCAATTGGTGGTAACCCGACCTCAGGTCAATCTTTGAAAACACGGTTGCCCCTCGTAGTTGATCAAACAAGTCATCAATCCTAGGTAAGGGATACCTATTCTTGATTGTGACCTTGTTCAGTTGACGATAGTCAATACACATTCGAAGTGTCCCATCTTTCTTTTTCACAAAAAGGACTGGTGCTCCCCACGGGGAATGGCTTGGTCTAATGAAACCATTATCCAAAAGCTCTTGCAATTGGGTTTTCAACTCGTTAAGTTCAGCGGGTGCCATACGGTATGGCGGTATGGAGATTGGTTTGGTACCAGGCTCGACCTCGATCACAAATTCAATCTCCCTATCAGGTGGAAGCCCCGGTAGGTCTTTAGGGAAGACATCCGGATACTTACAAACCACCCTCACGTCGTCGATGATCATTTCCTCCTTGGTTTTGTCAACCACGTATGCTAGATATGCGTGACACCCCTTTCTTATCATGCTCCTCGCTCTCACGGCGGATATGATACAACTGTTTGATTTGCCTCGATCCCCCTCGAAGCGTAGGGTGTCCCCATCATTGCCTTCGAGTTCCAAAACCTTTGTGTAGCAATCTACCCTAGCATGATGCTTTTCTAGCCAATCCATCCCTAGGATTGCATCGAACTCCATCATACTCAGCGGTACGAAATCACACGTCAAGGTTTGGCGATCGATTTCCACCTCACAAGATGGATAGTAAGTAGCTCTTTCAATGTCATCCCCTAGTGGTGTTGATACCACTAGAGTTTGCGTCATTGGGATTGATTGTACCCCTAAATCCTCGGCGAACGCCTCACTCACGAATGAACGTTGCGCTCCGGTATCGATAAGGATTCGTGCATCCTTCCCATTAATCTTTAATGTTCCTACATTTATAAGCCATGTAAGACACCATTCCTAACATGACTAAACTTAATTTAGGGTTAGGGTGCATTTACCGTTCAAACGGGGTGGGTCCCGTTTTAATCCGAAAAATTTTCGGACGAAAACAGCTTCGGACCGGCGCCGGTTCAGGCCTGACCGGCGCCGGTTGCCCGGGTTAAACGTCCCGGCTGCACCGGTCATAATGGGCCGGTTCCATACAGGCTTTGCTCCAGGGAAGGTCCGGCGCCGGTTGGTGGGTTTCCGGCGCCGATTGGGTAGGTTTCCAGGCTAACAGCGCCGGTTATGGAGGGCCGGTCGCACACAGGCTCGTCCCAGGGCAGATCCGGCGCCGGTTAGGGGGTGTCCGGCGCCGGTTGGCTGGAAAAATGCCTCGTTGTGCGCCGGTTGGAGAGAGCCGGTTCCAAACAGGCTCACCGAATCGCCATCTCCGGCGCCGGTTAGTGGGTTTCCGGCGCCGGTTGCCCCCTTTTTTTGTACGTTTTAACTTTAAACATCCCCACGTGATCCTAAATTGTTCGGGGCTTAATCCCTAAACGTGTACACACAAGTAGGGCTAATCTACCACACTCTAATGAGATAAATACCTGCAATGGAATCCGGGTTCGCTCGAGCATCCGCTTCCGTCATCGCATAGACTCGAGCTTGAGTCCTTCCTTGATTCACGGATGGCGCATTGCTCGTACTCGCTCCCCCGTGTCCCCGGCTTGCTTGAGAAGCCCCGGTTTGATTCCGTGTACCCGTCGGGCCACTACTCGGTCCCGATGTCCTGGTCCCGCCCAATTGTGGGCAATGCGCCTTCAAATGTCCGGCATCCCCACATTGGAAACATCTAGGGGGGTCGCGACATTTACCGGAGTGGTTCCTCTTGCAATTGTTGCAACGAGTTACCACTGAGGTTTGTGACCTCGAGCCTTGCCCACTCGGGCCTTGGTTCCCCCTAGACGGTGGCGGTGGTGCCCGGAAAGATCCTCCTCCATGGTTCCCCTTTTTGTTGGAACCTTGGGAGCCATGACTCTCCCATTTTCTCTTTTTCGCCTCCTCGGCGTCTCTCTTCTTCCGTTCCTCCCACTGTTTCTCCCCTTTCAACGCTTGGTCAACCACTTGGGCGAAAGTCATATTAGGCAATTGCGTTGCCCTATCACGTATCTCCAAGTCAAGAGCGTCCCAAAAGTGGTTTACCATGCGGTTCTCGTCACAAGCATACTCCGGTATGTAGTCGGCGAGATCCCGGAACTTGTACTCAAGCTCCTTCACTGACATGTTACCCCCTTGGGTTAGGAGCGTGTATTCTCTCACCTTCTTGTTCACCTCGAAATCGGAATAATATTGGGCAAAGAACTCTCGTTGGAAGTCCTCCCAAACGACGGTCTCACCGTACTTGCTCTTGGTTCCATCCCACCACTTGGATGTCATCCCCTCGAGCAATCTTACCGCAATTCTCAGTTTGAGATTCGGCACGATTTGCATGTCAAGGGCTGCTTCATTTAGCCTCTTGATCCATTGTGCTGCCACTGAAATGTCCCCTGCTCCATCAAAGGGTTTGCACCCCAGATCTCTTGCTTCTTTGATGAATTTGGAGATCCTTATGGTTGGACCTCCATCATTTTGGCCTCCACGTGGTTCCACATGGGCTCTAGATGCACCATGACTTCCTCCTCGTGAAGCCATGCCCGAAGGTTGCCCAGCCCGGCGCCTTCGGCGTTCCCTCCTCTCTTCACGCTCACGGTGATATTGTTGGAGTAATGCCTCAATCCGCGCTAAGGAGCCGTTGTCCTCCTCATCACTTACATCATCGTCATCCCCTTCATAAGGGGTTTCAACCGGCTCGGTTTCCGGTTGGTAAGTCGAGTCCTCATAGGACCAGTAGGTTTCACTTTCTGTGTCGACATGACCGTCACTCACGGTCTGTGATCGGCCTCCACGGCCAGCTCCTCTAGATGCCCTAGAGGTCCTTCGACTGCCCTGTCCAGTCTCCTCTGGTACACGGCCGGTCGGGTTTCTCCTAGTAATCCTGCCACCACGGTCCATTTCTGAAAGAAATTTGGAAAGAGTCATTAGACTCGTATCAAATGTCAATTGACGGATAGGTACTTAAGACACATTTTGGCTCGAGTCACCGCCATACCAATTGCTAAGGGTACCATCTTAACAATTAGAGACCTTGCAACCCAAGTACCAAAAGCTCTCCAAGTACAAAACTTCTATGCTCATGGTTTTCAAAATCTTTTCAAAAAGAGAATTTTGAGACTTCATTATGAAGTTTATGGACTAAGTCTCTGATACCAACTTAATTGTCACGCCCCGGACCTACCCGGACACGTCAACAACCCGCCGTACAATACGAATAGTCAACCGCAGTCCAACACATTCATATTATACAAGGCGTCATGAATATCATTCACACATATAACATCCATAGACAAACATAATAAGTAATTCATAACGCAGCGGAAAGCATTGTTTAAAACAAAAGGCCACACCGGGCTATTCATGAGCACGCAGGCTCTATAGTAAAATATCCATGAGCAAATTTATTAATGTTTCAAATAGAATGGAGGAAGCACGAACCGAGTCTTCTCTCCGAGGAATCACTCGATCAACGAGCACAGGATGCAAGCTCTAGCCTCAACCTGAAATGGTGGTGGGACGCCCCCGAAGGGGTCAGTACTCTATACGGCTATAAAGTACTGGTGTGGCAGGCATCTAATAGATATACAACAAGTATTTCAAACACAAGACCCTCAAATAGGGTGATAGTACATTATGATTGTAACCCTAAGTTACCCCGTTTAAAAATATACTTACTTTATATAAAAGTCAAGTAGCCGGCCCGTGGGCCCATGTTCATTTGGAAAATCACCATTCCCAACCCCGTGACTATAAGCCACGACAACTCCTAGAGTCCAACCCTAGTACATGACATTGTATTCTAGAGCTCGGCTCTACCACATCACCATACAATTCATATACCTCGGGTCAATTTCCCTACCTTGCGTTCTAGAGCTCGGCTCTATCACATCACCACGCAAGTCCTAGAGCTCGGCTCTAGCTATACAATACATAGACTCCAAGTCTACACCTTACATGCATTCTAGAGCTCGGCTCTATCACATCACCATGCATTAAGGTCCAATTCTCAAGCAACCCTATGCCTAGAATTGACATATCATTAGACTACCATGGGTCATCCTTAAAGACTTCCCATAACTTAACCTTAGTTCCTTACTAAGTTATTAGATACACTTGAACTACATTCAAGTATCTTTGATACAATCCAATCCCTAGGATCAATTTAATCAACAAGTTCCAATAATCACTAACTAGTATTTCAATACTATTAAGATTATTGTTATCATACCATTATCCTCATTATTTGTAATTCTCTACATAATTATAATTATGTAGCAGCAACTTAAGTATTCAATCTCAATACACAATTATTCATTTATGTAACCACATAATTCATACATGAGCAAAATGCCTATTTCACAAAGATAGTTCATTTATACTCATTTAATCTCATAATACTCATGCATTCTCAAATCATTTCAAATTTCATTCTTTGGCAACTATATCAATATTTCATCAATATGTAACCATCATAATTCATGAAAAATAATGACTTAAGCATTTAGGTAATCTCATGCTTAACCTACAAGTTGTAAGCAATTAGATGTCAATCCTCACCTCAATTGAGCTTTAAACTTTCCCTTCTTGGTCCAATGGTCAAAGCTTTGGTCAAGGTGGATTTTGGGACTGATTCCTTGCTCAAATATGAGTGTTAAACATCCTCCTCAAAGTGCTAGTTCAACCCTTAATCGTTGATACGAAAACAGCCCCTAGAACGGGTGTTTCCCGGTCAACTCGTTTTCCTAGTTTTTTCCAAGATTTGCTCTAGGTTAGTATCTAACCTTTACATCATTAAAATAACTTTATAAGGACATATTATACACTTGGATTAGTGTATAATAGTCCCACCAATCGTTCATATCATTTGGAAAATGAAAAGTAAAGTTTTGGGGTTAAAACTCACCTTAGAAGATTAAATCCTCTCCTGCGAGGTTGTGTTTTGCTCGGACGATTTGGAAGCCTTACACAACTCCGATTCCTGCAAACCAGACCTTCACGGATTCCTCGTCTTGAGAGCTTTCTTTTGGTATATCATACGCCTTATTTGGACGAGTGAAACTCAAGTTATGGATCAAACAAGAGACCCTATCTACTGGAAAACGAATCCTGCGGCCAGCTTCTCTCTTCTCTTCTCCCTTGGAATATGTGGCTCCCTCTTTCTCTCTTATCTTGGGAGTTCGAATGGGGTGTAGGGGGAGTGTATTAGGAGGCCTCAATCATGCTAAGAGAGCATGTGGTTCACAAAAAAGAAGGGTAGGGTATTTGATTGCAATCAAACATGGTATGGACCTCCTCTTTTATTTCCTTTTTGTAATGTTGTAGCTCATGAGTCAAAAGTCCGCCCCACATAGTTGTCTCATCCATTTTTCTTTGTCTTTGCAGGTACCAAGGTCATGTGGGATGATTCCCAAATGATCCCACTCAATTTGGGGTCCAAAATATCTACCAATACTTCCAAAAATGGGAATATGGGTCCTATTGTTTCATCTTTTGTCAAAAGATGCCCTGTTTGTACTCATCCTAATTTATTTAGAACAAGTCAACTTCCTACATCACATTATTGATCTACAATGTGTGTAGGATCATCTCGATAATTTACATGATGAAAATTACAAAAGAATACGGGTTTGAACAATACAATATTCAATCATGCACTTCGTAACATATTAATCGTTTTTCCATTGTTTTGAAATCGGAAATTCAATACGTCACTTTTGAATTTTTAAATCGAATTTCCAAGGACGTTCGGGTGCGGTGTCACAAGTACATTACATGCTCATTTTAAATAAAAATATACTCAATCTGAGGATTAGAAGTAACTTAAAATGTATAAACATTGAGTGTGAACTACTTTTATAATTAATATAAAAGTGTTTGTTTTTTTAAAGTACTAATAAGTTAAATATAATGCCGGAAGTAAATTCAAGCAAAAAATGTATGAGAATGGATACCAATGTTTAATGACATATCTTTGCTAAACATAGTCATAACTTCTTCAATAATGTTCATTACAAGTGTGTAGAATACTCAAACATTTTTTAATGAGAACAAGATGGAATATATAAATGTTCAACAAAGAGTTAAAAAAAAATAACAGTAGATGTTAATAATAGAGTACATATTATAAACAGATACAAGTCAATTATATATACCTGATATATATATATATATATAATCATATATATGAGTACGGATAATGTTTTCTTTGAACATTACAACACAAAAGTTGAGTATGATAACACAAATACGTATGACAATATATAATAATTTCTTTAATTAGTTTTACATGAAAAACGTTTGATTTTTTTAAGTATTAGTAAGGCAGATATAATACTGGAAGTAAATTCAATTTAAAAAAATATATCAAAATGGATACTAATGTTTGAATCATATGAACTTTGCTAAACACACTCATAACTTTTATAATTAATGTTCATTACATAAAAAAGGAATACTCAAAGGATTTGTTGATCAGAATGAAGTGTATTCGGTAAACGTTCAACATAAAGTGTGAAAAAAATATAACAACAGAGAATAAAAGAGTACTAGAAACGGATAAGAGTAAATTATAAATATTAATATATATGAGCACGCATATGGTTTCTTTTGAACATTAAAACAACGACGTTGAGTAATAAGATTACACATATGTTTTAAAAAAATAGAAACTAAATAGAAGAAGACAAATACAATAGTATATAATAATCTGATTACAAAGTTGCATGATCAGTGACTGATGTGCTCATTTGACGTAACTTTTTCTTTCCTCTAGCTTGATTTGTTTTGACTTCAATAATACTTTTGCGACGCACATTTCTTTCACCCTTCTTCCTTGAAGTTTTTGGATTAGAGATTGCTGAAGGCGCACCAACAGAGGTAGAGTCACTATCTGAGAAATAAATGCTTCCAACTTGATCTTGAATAGCAACTTTCAAACTTTTAAAAGAGTCTTCACATAACTTCCTTGCTGCAAAATTTGAATCACTAGAGCATAACAGCTTGTGATATTTCTTTTGCATTTGCAGTCTCCAAACAGAAGGCAAGACAGTAGAAGTACCAGCTACATCATGAGTTTCTTCATTTACGTGAACTTTGCTGTACGAGTCCACCTTTTCAGAATATAACAATCCGGAACAACTTCCACACAGTGAATATGTTATATACGAAGAATGTGACAACACAAAATACCAACCTCTAGGAATTTTTTACACGAACAACTAACAAAATGTGTTGGTATATCATAGGAAACCCAATGAGAAAACTGATCTATTTGAGGCATCCATACCAAATAACCCATTAAAGAACCTTGATGATGTCTAACTTCATATTTAAGAGACATACCTCTCATAAATTCCTTTTCAAAGAGTTTATATGCATCAATCGTGTAAACCTTGGATGCCTTATGTAACAAACCAACATAGGGAATAGCAATTTCAGGATAACCATCCCAACAACGTTGATGATCTTTTCGTTCATTACTTCGCCATTCACTGACAGCTTCACTGAAAAAATGGTAAAAGTCACAAAGAGACGAGTTCGCATTCATTTTTCTAGACAAAGAATGATTTGTGGATTCACTTCGTTGTGAAGACAAGGTTCCAGCTGAAAAGAACTCTTTCGAAAAAGCTCGACACCATTTCTCTTTCATCTCATATAGTTTCTTCAACCAAGGATTATCAGAGCAATTGTATTCAGAGATCATTCTACAAAATAAAAGACAATGAATTTACAAAACTAATCAATTCGTACAACCTGTTACTCATTGTTAACATACAGAATGCTCATAAAATCAGTACTAATAAAAATATGAAAAGATAAAACAAAATGTAGTCATAATAAAAGATACCTATTCCAGTAATGATCAAATTCTGCAACGGTGTGACACAATTTCAGAACATGATCAAACAAATCTAAGAAGCCCTCTTGATTCCTCAAGTCACGTATATGTTTCTTTGAATTTTCAATGATATGCCAAACACACAGACGATGTTTCGAGAGAGGAAATACTTTACAAATTGCAGCAGACATAGCGGCCGATTGATCTGTCATAATAGTTCTTGGATGAACAGAACCCATAGATTGCAAAAATGTACTGAAAAGCCATTCAAACGACTCAATTCTTTCATTCAATAAAAAACCACAACCAAACATGCAATTATGAGTATGAGAGTTAATGCCAACGAATGGACCACAAATCATATCATATTTGTTGGTCCGATAAGTCGTATCATGAATAACTAAATCACCAAATGCAGTATAATCTTCTCTCATTTTCTTATCTCTCCAAAAAAAGCTACAAAGAGAACCATCCAAATCAACCTCAAAAGAATAGAAAAAGTCTTCTTCATTTGCATGCCTGTTCTTAAAAATATTAATCAATGTATTTGCATCACAACCGTCAAAAGATTTCTTAGACTTTTTTGTCAGTTCATTATAAGCATCGCGCAAAAGAAAACCAACAGAAGGAGATCCACCCGCTTCAGCTTGCAAGCAACGAAAACCATCTGCAATCTTAACTCCTTTATTTTTTAAATGTTGCAAATACTCCAACTCGCTTGAAGAAACAGCACGATGAGATCTAACATGATGAACTAAAGATTCCGGGCAAAACTGGTGATTATGAACCATATCATGCCTAACAACAACCAACTCACCTGTAGATTTGAACTCAAAATAAACTTTTGCCTTGCAACCAGTTCGTCTATCAACTTTTGTATATTGTTTACCTACAACACCTTTGTTTCTTTTCATACCTTGTTTCGTACAACAAAATTCCCTTCCTCTAAAACCAACACCGTTACTCCTCTTTCTCAAAGTAGAATAGCGAACACCAAATCCAATTCTATAAGCGTAGTCATTATATAGATCAAATGCCTCTTCTTCCGAAAAAACTGTTTTACCCAATAAATCAGAAATGTCTGCTTCCTTAACACATATATTTTCAGAACACACAGACTCATCAGTTTGATCTACATGAACAAAAGTAGAAGAATTTTGAACTGCAAAAAAAAAAATTAAAAATTTGAATAGGGAAAAACCTAACAAAGTAATAAAATGTAAGAAAACACAATACTTGGTAGGACAGGAACAGATTCAGTTCTTGACAAAATTTCTTCACTTAAGGTATCAGCAGAATGCAAGTAATCTGAAGACATAAAAAATGCACAAATAACTAACAAAATCTCAAAGTAAACAACACAGACAAAAAAACAACACTATGTAAATTAAAAAGATAGAAAACATTACGACAATCAACTTCAAAAAGTTCGCCTCTCGCCTCAATATCTTCTATTAATTTGCCACTAAAAGAAATACCATCTGACAGGGGATGACAAATCAAAAGCAAAGTACAGATGATCAATACTCAGTAAAGCAATACTCAACTAAACAAATCAAATATATTGAAGGTGTTTCTTGAAAAAATACCTCCAGAACTAGACATAGCATCAAATCTTGGATAAACCCAAATGCTACAACAAAAAAATATGAATTGAATGAACAAAATATTATTTTGTTCCTACGATAGAAGAAAATAACCTAAACCTAAACCTGCAATTCAGAAGACAATAACCTGAACTGAATGAACAACTTCAAAAAACTAAACCTGCACAAGAATCAACGGAAGTAAATAATAAAGAGGAGCACATCAAAGAGAAGAAACTGTAAAAGAAGAACGAAAGTAAGATAGAAGATGGAAACAAGCAAAAACAAAAATTTATCATTGCAATACAAAATTGGAAGAAAACATAAATGAATAAAATAATAAAAAGCAAAGAAAAGGCAACGGAAATCTTACTCCAATTGATCGATGACCAGACGGAAACCAGCTGGGAGAGTCGCGGTAGAGACAAAACAGATGAAGGAAAGAAAGTTGGGAGAAGAGGACGAAACAGCTGGGAAGGACGAATATTAGACTCAAACTTGGAATAATTTACAAAAAAAACCCGGCTGTACCATGCCCTAGGTACAGCCGGCTGTACGGTCTAATTTGCGGGCTGCAGGGGTGGTGGGGTGGTAAGAGTCACGGCCTACTTGGATCGAGTGTTAGCGGGTATTAATAATGGAAGGGTTAGCGAGGATGTGTTAATGAGTGTTTGATGGTGTTATTCATAACTTTCAAACATCTATATCTATCACTTTTTAAACATCCCAAATTCAAAT